TCCATATCATCTGATATATCATTTAAGACTTGTGTTTCCTTATTAATTTTCTGTTTTGATGATCTGTCCATTGGTGTGAGTGGGGTTTTAAAGTCTCCTACTATTACTGTGCTATTATCAGTTTCTCCTTTTATGTCTGTTAGTGTTTGTCTTATGTATTGAGGTGCCCCTATTTCAGTGCATAGATACTTACAATTGTTATGTCTTCCTCTTGGATTGATCCCTTGATCATTATGTACTGTCCTTCCTTATCTCTTGTAATCTTCTTTATTTTCAGGTCTATTTTGTCTGATATGAGGATTGCTACTCCAGCTTTCTTTTGCTTCCCATTTGCATGGAATATATTTTTCCATCCTCTCACTTTCAATCTATATGTCTTTAGGTCTGAAGGGTGTTTCTTGTAGACAGCATATATGGGTTTTGTTTTTGTATCCATTCAGCCAGTTTGTGTCTTTTGGTTGGAGCATTTAATCCACTTACATTTAAAGTAATTATTGATATATATGTTCCTATTGCCATTTTCTTAATTGTTTGGGGTTTGTTTTTGTAGATCTTTTTCTTCTTTTGTATTTCTTGACTATATAAGTCCATTTAACATTTGTTGTAAAGCTGTTTTGGTGGTACTGAATTCTCTTAACTTTCGCTTGTCTGAAAAGCTTTTGCTTTCTCCATCAATTTTGAATGAGGTCCTTGACAGGTACAGTAATCCTGGTTGTAGGATTTTCCCTTTCAGTACTTTAAATATATCCTGCCATTCCCCTCTGGCCTGCAGAGTTTCTGCTGAAAGATCAGCTGTTAAGCATATGGGGTTTCCCTTGTATGTTATTTGTTGCTTTTCCCTTGCTGCTTTTAATATTCTTTCTTTGTGTGTTTAGTCTTTGTTTGTTTTACTACATGTTGTGGCGTATTTCTCCTTGGGTTTATCCTGTATGGGACTCTTTCTGTCTCTTGGACTTGATTGACTATTTTCTTTTCCTTGTTGGGAAAATTTTCAACTATCATCTCTTCAAACATTTCTCATACCCCTTCTTTTTCTCTTCTTCTTCTGGGACCCCTTTCGAATGTTGGTGCATTTGATATTGTCCCAGATGTCTCTGAGACTATCCTCAATTCCTGTCATTCTTTTTACTTTATTCTGCTCTTCAAAAGTTATTTCCTCCATTTTATCTTCAAGCTCACTGATTCATTTTTCTGCTTCAGATATTGTGCTATTGGTCTGTTCTAGAGTATTTTTAATTTCAGTAATTGTTTGTCTCTGTATGTTTATTCTTTAATTCTTCTAGGTCTTTGTTAATTGATTCTTGCATTTTCTCCATTTTGTTTTCAAGGTTTTTGATCATCTTTACTATCATTATTCTGAACTCTTTTTTCAGGTAGTTTGCCTATTTCCTCTTCATACACTTGAACTTCTGTGTTTCTAGTTTCTTCCTTCATCTGTGTAATATTTTTTTGCCTTTTCATTATCTTTTTTTAACTTACTGTGTTTGAGGTCTCTTTTCCAGTCTTCAAGGTTGAATTCTTTTTTCCTTTTGGCCCTGGTAAGTTTGGTCCAGTAGTTTGTGTAAGCTTCGTATAGGGTGAGATTTGTGCTGAGTTTTTGTTTGTTTGCTTGCTTGTTTATTTTTCCTCTGATGGGCAAGGCTGAGTGAGGTGGTAATCCTGTCTGCTGATGATTGGGTTTGTATTTTTGCTTTGTTTATTGTTTAGATGAGGCATCCTGCACAAGCTGTTACTTGTAGTTGGGTGATTCTGGGTCTTGTAGTCAAGTGGTTTCCTTTGTGTAAGTTTTCACTATTCGATACTCCCTAGGGTTAATTCTCTGGTAGTCTAGGGTCTTGGAGTCAGTGCAGCTACTCCAAAGGCTCAGGACTTGATCTCTCTGATGACACATTCAGTGGTGGAGAGGTGGAGTTTCCTTCTGGACATGATCCCCTCAGCATCCTCCCCTCCTCCCCAGCCAGGGAGATCACCAGACGTGTACTGGTCAACCTGCTTTGCCCTGGCCTCGCTTATCAGGGTGGCCCAGGTACCAGAAGGAGGTGGCCACAGCAGCCTGGCCTCAAATCCCACAAACTTGAGATGCGGGCCACTGGCCACTCTCTCCAGAGGTGCCCAGTCGGGAGCACCCACAACCATGAATCAGGGAAGCAACGCAGGTGGCTGCGGCTGCTGATTATATATCTTTTTTTCTGATTTTTGCTTTATGTTCTTTGTTTCTTTGTTGTTAGATGTCTAATGGTTTATGATGGCTATTTTCTTTGTGAATTGTACCTTTTGTTGTTAAAAATATTCATCCTTATTTCATTTAAAAATAAATTAATTCTAAAAAATTGTCCTTTCCTAATCTTGTTAAATGTATTTAACCCAAACTCATACTTCCCCTTTCTTCCCAGACACTTCACCCCTTAATCTGTAAATACTTCTCACTGGAGAAATACTGATTTAATTGATTATGGGGTACTGCCCATGATATAACTGTTTTCTTGGGCTATTATACCTACCTCCTAAAAACGTGAATTCCAAAACATTATTTTTCTAACATCTAAGGAAATTCTGAGCTCAAAATTAATCTAAAACCTGCCTAATGGGTTTTAGATGAATAATTAGAGTCCTGTATATATGCATATTCACATATATCCACACATATCTTTTTTCTTATGAAAGTGGAAATGAAGTTGCTCAGTTGTGTCTGACTCTTTGCAATTCCATGGACTGCTGCCTACCACACTCCTCTGTCCATGGCATTTTCCAGGCAAGAGAACTGCAGTGGGTTGCCATTTCCTTCTCCGGGGATCTTCCTGGCCCAGAGATCGAACCAGGGTCTCCTGCATTGCAGGCAGATACTTTACTGTCTGAGCCACAAGGAAAGTCCATAATACTATTCTTTTGTTCTATTTTTGTGCTTTTTTCTATTAACCATATAAAGTTCTTTCCATATTAGCATAAATAGAGCTACCTAATATTTAACTGTTGCAAAGTATAACATTGTATGGATACACCATAATAAGTTGCGGTTATGATAAATATTTAAATCCCTACTGTAGATAAGTGCAGCAAAGAACAGTCTTATTCATGGATCTCTTTGTAGTTGTAAAAGAATATTTGCTTCTGAGGTAGGGTTGTTGAGTCTATGATTATATACAACTACATTTTTGATGGGTATTATTAAATTACCCTCCAAGAGCCTTCACTAATTTATACTCCCATGGACAGTTTGACTGTTTCCTCACACTCTCACTAGTATTATCAAACTTGCAAACTTTTGACCATCTCCTAAATGAAAATGGGTATCTTATTATCATTTAATTTTGTGTGTGTATATACATATACATATACATATATATATATATATATATATATAATTTTAACTATGAGTGGGGTTGAGCAATTTTTAAAGTTTCTTAGCGATTTGTTTTTTTTTCAAGTCTACACTCCAACTTTTTTAAAAATATTGAGCTATTTTTAAAGCTTCCTTGAAAACTGTATTCTTTATACTACCCATAAAGTTTTATATATATAATTATATAAAATTTATGATACATAAAGTTTAATATAACATTCAATAACTTTACATTATAAAATTCTCCATCAGTTCAGTTCAGTCACTCAGTCATGTCTGATTCTTTGTGACCCCATGGACTGCACCACGCCAGGCCTCCCTGTCCATCACCAACTCCTGGAGTTTACTCAAACTCATGTCCATTGAGTTGGTGATGCCATCCAACCATTTCATCCTCTGTCATCCCCTTCTCCTCCTGCCTTCAATCTTTTCCAGCATCAGGGTCTTTTCAAATGAGTCAGTTCTTCACATCAGGTGGCGAAAGTAGTGAAGTTTCAGCTTCTGCATCAGTCCTTCCAATGAATATTTAGGACTGATCTCCTTTAGGATGGACTGATCGGATCTCCTTGCAGTCCAAGGGACTCTCAAGAGTCTTCTCCAACACCACAGTTCAACAGCATCAATTCTTTGGCACTCAGCTTTATTTATAGTCCAAGTCTCACATCCATACATGACTACTGGAAAAACCATAGCTTTGACTAGACGGACCTCTGTTGGCAAAGTAACATCTCTGCTTTTTAATATGCTCTCTAGGTTGGTCATAACTTTCCTTCCAAGGAGTAAGCATCTTTTAATTTCATGGCTGCAGTCACCATCTGCAGTGATTTTGGAGCCCCCTCAAAATAAAGTCTCTCACTGTTTCCATTGTTTCCCCATCTATTTGCCATGAAGTGATGGGACCAGATGCCATGATCTTAGTTTTCTGAATGTTGAACTTTAGGCCAACTTTTTCACTCTCTTCTTTCACTTTCATCAAGAGGCTCTTTAGTTCTTCCTCACTTTCTGCCATAAGGGTGGTATCATCTGCATATCTGAGGTTATTAATATTTCTCCTGGCAATCTTGATTCCAGCTTGTGCTTCATCCAGTCCAGCATTTCTCATGATGTACTCTGCATATAAGTTAAATAAGCAGGGTGACAATATATAGCTTTGACGTACTCCTTTCCCAATTTGGAACCAGTCTGCTGTTCCATGCCAGTTCTAACTTGCTTCCGGACCTGCATACAGATTTCTCAGGAGGCAAGTCAGGTGGTCTGGTACTCCCATCTCTTTAAGAATTTTCCAGTTTGTTGTGATCCACACAGTCAAAAGTTTCATATATTAAGATAATTAGTGTATTTCATCATATATAATACACACATTTCTATGGCTTATAATTTGTCTTTTAACCTTTAACCTTGTTAACTACAATAGTTATAGTTATGTTTGAGTTTTTATACAATTAAATTTATCCATTTTTATCTTAATGAGTTCCAGGTTCTGTGCAATGTATAGGAAGGACTTTCCAAACTAAGTTGCTACTATAAAAGTGATCTCTTCCATTATGTTATTAAACTGGTTACTGTTTGCATATAGGAAACCTATTGATTTTTTAATATTTGTATGATTAATCAGAAGATGATTCTACTTGTAAAAGTATTTACAGTAATCAAACATTACCTTTGGAAGTCCAGAAGTTCACTTGCAACAGCTGTTCCAATACTACCAGCACCAATTAATATTTCTGTAGACGTTCCAGGCACACTAATAAAAGACTGTCTAGAGGATCCTAAATCATAACAAAAGATTCAAATGAGGACTTTAAAAGGTATATAACTTGGTCAATATATTTTTTTCAATTCAAATATATTTCCTATTTCCCTCTTTAAAAGAAACAAACCAGCTGCATCCTAAAACGTTGGAAACATTCCTGTTTACATTAAACATTCTCATGATGGTTTAAGATGCTCATAAAGACTGATACGAATCAAGTATGTGGGAAGTCACTGAGAGGTCACTCATGACCTGTGACCCTTGAGTACAGACAGTCCCGTCGCACTTTAACATCCACACTAAAGGCAGAGCAATGCTATTTTTTTCTTTTATTGAGGTATAGTTGATTTATAATATTGTTAGTTCCCAGTGTACAGCAAAGTGATTCAGTTGTACATATATATGTGTATCTATATTCTTTTTCAGATTCTCTTCCATTATAGGTTGTTACAAGATATTACTACAGTTCCCTGTGCTATATAAGAAATTCTTATTATTTTACATATAGCTATGTGTATCTGTTAATTCCATACTCCTAATTTAACCCTCTCAACCCCGCTATTTCCCCTGTGGTAACCATAAATTTGCTTTCTATGTCTGTGAGTCTATTTCTGTTTTATAAATATGTCTATGTGTATTATTTTTTTTAGATCCCACCTATAAGTGATATCATAAGATTTGTCTTTCTCTGACTTACCTCACTTATTATGAGAATCTCTGGGTCCATCCATATTGCTGCAAATGACAATGTTTCATTCTTTTTTATGGCTGAATATGACTCTACTTTTAATATTTCCTAATATGTTAGTTTTTCTTAATGCAAATAATATATTAACATATTCCTGCGGTGAACATCTACGATAACTTCCCCTTGGTGCTTTTCATGAATTGGACCAACAGACATTCGAGCGCTCTAATATACAAGGAACTATGCTAGGAGCTGCTGGTTCATAATAAGTAAAACACCATTTCTGCTCTTAAGGGACTCACAGTCTAGTGGTGAGTCAGCTGAGTGAACAACTTATTGCAATAAAATATAAGATTATAACACAAGTGTGACCAAAGTACTGTGGGAATTCTAAGGAGGATAACTCAACCCACTGAAATCTTTTCAAGTTCACTTAGAAATTTTTCCCTCTCCAAGACAGATAAAGATGATAACTTTCTTAGTAATAAGTCTTCACACCTAAAACTAAGCTTACCTTCTGATGACTGAGAGCTGCAAGGAAGCAATGATGTTTCTCCAGCATCATTATGTCCCCTAGAATTCAGAAACACCACAGGTGATTTTTTTAAGGTGAAGGAAAATGTTAAAGCAATTACATTAAGCTCTGTGTATCTGAATGGCCAGTTCTTGACCCACTAGTGTTTTATATGCATATTGTTAATGTCACCACCAGATATTGAGGTATTGATGTGCTAAGTACCAGGGCTTTTTCCAGATGCCATAATAATGTACCCTGTAATGTATATGTTCTCACAGATACAGATTCTCAGTTCATAGTCTAATGATAAGAAGGCAAGAATTATTGGGATGAGTAATAGAATTGTCAGGATGGCTAATTAGTACCTACTGCAAGTATTAACTGAACTGAACTGAACTGCAGGTACTAAGAATTGGAGGGGCTTTTTTAAAAAACTAAATATTTTAGATAAGGAAATAGAATTGGGTTGATAAAACCTTATAGCAATTTCAAATAAAACATAGAAAAATAATACTTGGAATGGGGCCATGCTAGCATATTGAGCATATCAAGAAAAGCTGGCTCTTTCTTTAGGCTGACATAGCCATAGACCAGGGCTTTGAAGGCAGTGAATGGTTTGGATTTCTGGTTATCCCTCAGCCAAATATTTTTATACAAGTATATGTGGTCCCAAAGTTTAGAAGATGGACATGAAAAAATGATGTGGAGGCCAAAATGACTTCTAACAATTATGTGCTTATGTGCTTATTTGCTCAGTTGTATCCGACAAAAGTCTTTGGAGCCCCATGGACTGTAGCCTGTCAGGCTCCTCTGTCCATGGGGATTCTCTAGACAAGAATACTGGAGTGGGTTGCCATGCCCTCCTCGAGGGGATCTTCCCAAGCCAGGGATTGAACCCAGGTCTGCCACATTGCAGGTGGATTCTTTACCATCTGAGCCACTAGTGAAGCCTTCTTACAATTATAGACAGTTTAAAGCCACATCCACAGTGTTTTTTGGAAGGACAAAAGAAGGCCATGAAGGGTAGGGAAAAACTGTTCTGAATAAATGCATCTACTGTCACATTTTATACCAAGCGAAAAGAAATTTATTACAAAAGGGCAAACTTTTAGCTTAATTCTGAGAACGAATGCCAATGAGCAGTGAATGAATTACTCAAAATATATACTCAAGGTACAAAGCCAGGGGACCACATGGGTTTTTTTTTTAATTGAAGTATAGTTGATTTACAGTGATTCATGTGTAAAGCAAAGTGATTACACACACATATATATTTTCTTTTTCAGTTTCTTTTCCATTATATCATAGGTTATTAAAAGATATTGAATATAGTTCTCTGTGTGATATAGTAGGTCCTTGTTCATCTATTTTATATATAGTAGTTTGTATCTATTAATCATCAATTCCCAATTTATTCCCCCCCCCTTTCTTCTCTGGCAATTATAAGTTTGTTTTCTATGTGAGTCTCTTTCTGTTTTGCAAATAAGTTCATTTGTGTCATTCTTTAATTAATTAATTTTTTGGAGGGTAAAATCTCAATTTTTTATTGAGATATAATTGACATAATATTATATTAGTTTCAGGTGTACAAGATAATGATTTAATATTTGCATATATTTAAAAATGTTCACCACAAAATCTAATTAACACCTGTCATTACATATAGTTATAATTTTTATCCTTGTGATGAGAACTTTTTTAAAAAATTATTTTTTTGAATTGGAGTATAATTGCTTTACAATGTTTAGTTTCTACAGTATGTATAATTTTTAAAGATTCTATTAATATATGTAAGTGACATCATATATTTGTCTTTCTCTGTCTGACTTACTTCGCTTAGTAGGATAATCTCTAGGTCTACTCATGTTGCTGCAAATGACATTAACTCAAGTTATAAAGCCAGAGAATCAAATAGTTTCAATGATTTAGCAAGATGAAAAGAGGGAAACAAAGATACTCATTTGAAATTAATAAAAAGGTCTTAACAACATAAACTATTACTTACAAAACTAAAGTGTTGACAGACACAATATATTCCAGTTCTTTGGTCCAAGGATTTGTGAAACTAAACCACTGGCTTTTTAAAGTTACAAAAGACCCATCTTTCGCTCTGAATTTGTACGAATCTGTAAATATTTTCTCTTTACTCTGTAGAACTTAACAAGAAAAGATAATAATCAGCATAACAGTTTACCACTGTATAAATCAGTCCTTTAGGGATTAGCTCAAGGTTTAGATTTCACAGGAATGAAAAATTAAGAGTTGAAGCTATAATTAAAAAGTACTAAAAGACAACCCCATTCAAGGCATACCTGCTTTGTGCTTGTCAGTCAAACTACTATGGTCATCCTGATGAAAATATTCATAACAAGAAGTTCCCAAGAGTTCCTGAGGCAGATATCCTAAAATTGCTGTTGCCCTAGTTTTAAAATTAAAGGTAAAGTTCAGAATTGGTGAATGTATCCCCTTATGGAAGATTGCTTTTCCACACATGGTCAGGACAGTAGAGACGTGGACCAGGAGATGAGTAACCCTTAGCATCACTGGGCTCCCTTTGGCTGCCCTAGACCCAGATTAGAGTTGCAAAGCAGAATGGACACCCAGGCACCAGGCTGCTCCAGAGGCCACCTACCTAATCCACAGTATACTGGTCTCACCATGCATCAATAAAACTGTGGCCATAGGCCCTGCACAGTTTCTGCACCACTGGCTAAGAAATATTTTAAGTTTACAATTTGGTTACAGATGTATCCATATCCTTATTTCATTTAAGCTTTATTTCCTATTCTAAAGCTTAAAAAAAAAAAAAATCCAGCCACACTACTAAGCCACATCTTTAGTAGCCTTAAATATCCCATTGAACTCTAATCAGTATGGCAGATAAATGTTTACCTTTGATCAACATAGACAAATTTTCCATTAACTGCAAAACGGGTAATAAACTCAGCTGGTTTCACTTTAATCTCGCCGCTGTTCTGTGGGACAATATGTGGACGTAGTCTTCCAACAGCAACAAGGCAGGTGAAATTACTCCTGTCTTTCTTATTGTCCCTTTCTTCTTCCATTCCAGCAATATTTGGAGGCCAGCTTCTCAAGTAACCAGTGCAGTGGATAGTACAGAATTTTCTGTGATCTAATTCAAAGGTTTAAAAAAAAGAGGATTTGTCAACTACATCGCAATAAAACTAAAAAAAGATAAAAATTTTAAAAGCATTTCAATCATTATGAATAAATTCATTACACTGACATTTATATTAGTTATGATTCTACTATGAAATAGCCTTTATGCTAAATATGAAAAGGAAATAGGTTGGCATTAAAAAGAAAGCATCGATCATGTTTACTTAAGAACTTAATTCCTAATGGGTTATTTTTCTCAAGAACTAAACTATATGTCCTATATCAAAAGGATTGTTTTAATTTCAGTGTAAACAGATCCATAGCTAATTCATTATTTCCAAGTTAATTTTTTAAATTACAGTAATTGATATGTTAAAAACTGTTAAACTTCATACCCCCTTGCTCTTTGCTACATAAGTATTATTTTCAGCTTATTTAAATTTTGGTATATTATAATTTATATTCATAAATTTAAAGGACACATGAATATATTCTTAAATTTCTTATGTTAGTATTTATAATGGCTAATAGATACATATTATAATATATTATAGAAATATTTCAAGGAACATTCAGAGATATTTATCATAAAATGTATAAAAATAAAATGACTAAACTTTAAAAAAAAAATCTTAAGCAATTAAGTCATAAGAAAACACTCATCAAACAGATTCAACCAGGAAAATTAAAAATTGGAAATAATCCATATGTGCAAATATCAGGAAATGCTTAAGAAAACAATAACAGTAAAAAAGATAGGCAGTATACAGATTATGGCAATCTACAAAAAATTAAAGGTAAAAAAGAGGGGAGGAAAAAAACAGTTGTTTGTGATAAGATTTAGGAAAGGCCAGAATAGTCACTATTGTAAGTTGGCACTTTTTGCTCAGACTGTTATTACAAATCTTCAAAAACATTTTTTTGACGGAAGATGATACGGGCTGTCTTATTAAGAGAGCAACTAATAATAATAGCAAAGGTGTAAAGAACTTTACATGCCATGCTCTAAGTTCTCAGTATAATTCATTTAATCTTCTTAATTGAAAGACACTTGCTCCTTGGAAGAAAAGCTATGACAAACTAGACAGCATATTAAAAAGCAGAGACCTCACTTTGCAGACAAAGGTCCATTTAGCCAAAGCCATGGTTTTTTAGTAGTTATGTATGGATATGAGAGTTGGACCATAAAGAAGGCTGAGCACCAAAGAATTGATGCTTTCAAACTGTGGTGCTGAAGACTCTAGGGAGTCGCTTAGACAGCAAGGAGATCAAACCAGTCAGTCCTAAAGGAAATCAACCTTGAATATTCACTGGAAGGACTGATGCTGAAGCTGAAGTTCCAATACTTTGGCCACCTGATGTGAAGAGCCAACTCATTGAAAAAGACACTGATGCTGGGAAAGATTGAGGGCAGGAAGAGAAGGGGGTGACAGGGGATGAGATGGCTGCCTGGCATCACTGACTCAATGGACCTGAGTCTGATCAAACTCTGGGAGATAGTGAAGGACAGGGAAGCCTGGAGTGCCTCAGTCCATAGGCTCACAAAGAGTCAGGCTTGACTGAGTGACTAAACAACAAAAACAATATTTCTGTGAGAGGTTCTAATACTACCCCCACCATCTTAGGAAACTGAGAGTTACTGCCAAGGTTATAGCAGGGAAGGCTGGAGCTTGGGGTTTCCATCCAGACAGGCTGCCTCCAAAACTCCCCCTCTGAACCACTGCTCTGGTGCTATTTGATGGAAGTGAGTGCTGTCACAGCAGGTATTCAAACAGGAGCCTGAGTGATGGAGAGGGAGGGCTATAAAAAGGTGCTCCAATAGGGAACAGCCAGTGCAAACAGTCAAGAGTGAGCAGTCAGAGGTGGTGGGGCACCCTCTGTCATGGGGAAGTGTCTGGAGAACAAACCAGGGAACCGACAGTTTAGCTCTCGTGAGCCCTGCACAGCGTTAGTTAGTTGCTCAGTCATGTCTGACTCTTTGTGATTCCGTGGTCTGAAGCCCTCCAGCGTCCTCTGTCCATGGAATTCTCCAGGCAAGAACACTAGAGTGGGGCCCTTCTCCAGGGGATCTTCCTGACCCAGGGATGGAACCCAGGTCTCCTGCATTGCAGGCAGAGTATTTCCTGTCTGAGCCAAAGGACCTTGTATTCAACACTTAACAGACATCAACACTCTCCACGACCCACTGCTACTGCTAGTCTAAGTCACTTCAGTCGTGTCCAACTCTGTGCAACCCCATAGACGGCAGCCCACCAGACTCCCCCGTCCCTGGGATTCTCCAAGCAAGAACGCTGGAGTGGGTTGCCATTTCCTTCTCCAATGTGTGAAAGTGAAAAGTGAAAGTGAAAGTCGCTCAGTCATCCCACAGATGCCTTAAATTACATGTTGTTATCTCTTTCAACCCCAAACCAAGTCTTGATCACTTCTTCCCTACCCTGCTTTATGGCACCACAATCAACCCAGGTAGTTAAATAAAAAATCTGGGCTCCTCCCTTTACCTCACCCAATATCCAAGATACCTGAAAGGAATTAAAGATTAGCATAAATACAAGGTTTTCATTTATACTAACAAAACTAGATCACAGTCAAAAATAAAAAGGCTGGGGCTTCCCCAGCAGTTCACTGGTTAAGACTCTACCTTCCAATGCTGGGAGCACAGGTTTGATCCCTGGTCAGGAAACTAAGATCCCACATGCCACGCAGTGCAGCCAAAAATTTGAAAAATAAAATAAAAAGTAAAAAGGCTTATGCCTGTGACAACATGGGCAGACCCTGAGTGTATTATGCTGAGTCAGACGGAGAAAGACAAGCACCCTATAATTTCACTCATATTTGGAATATGGAAACAAAAAACAAAATAAATGTACAAACCAAATCAACAAAAAACACACACATAAATAAAGAGAACAGAGCAGTAGTTACCAGAGGGGAAGGGGAGGAGGGGAGGACAAAGTAAAGGCAAATCAATTGTATGGTGAAGGATGAAACTAAATCTGAGTGGTGAGCACACTGTAATGTATACAGAACTAGAAATACAATGTTGTACACATGAAACTTATATAATGTTATAAACCAAAGTTACCTCAATACAAAAAAAAATAAATAAACTTTAAGAAAAGCTTATAGGGACTTCATGGTGGTCCAGTGGATAAGACTCAGTGCTCCCAATCCTGGAGGCCTGGGTTCAATTCCCAGTCAGAGAACTAGATCCCACATGCTACAAGCAACTAACACCTGGTACAGCTAAATAAATAACTAAATGTGAAAAAGGAAAAGGCTTAAACACTGAGTTAGACATTTCTGATTTCTTGCAAATTTACAAAAGATACTAGCTAAAAATATTCTGTGTGCATGTGCTAAGTTGTGTCTGACTCTTTGTGACCCCATGAACTTGGGCCTGCCAGGCTTGTCTGTCCATGGGATTCTCCAGGCAAGAATAATGGATTGGGTTGCCATTTCCTATTCCAGGCTCAGCTGAAAATACAGATTGGAAAGTTTTATATTAACGTATGGAATCTCATCCTATAGAACGTAGCCTTTGACTTCAGTTCTCTAACAATAGGGTTACCAACAATTTCTAAGTTACCCTGTTCCTCAGTTCCCATCTTGAACATTCATTCAGTCGGCAGATTTCTAGTTGGGATTGTGTAATTCCATCTAGTGATGGAATTTGATCCATTTGATCAGTTATCTAAAGTTTAAAAAAATCCTATTAAAAAACACTTTTATCCCCAAAATTCATTAGACTTTTATCTAAATATTGGGATCATGGGCCTCAAACCTTACCAAACTAATTATTTACATTAGCTCCACAAGGTAGATTCATATGCAATCTACTCCATGATTTTAGTTTTGGATGTATGTTATGGGAGAAGGTCTGGGTAAAAACTTCCATAGTCTTGAGCTCTGGGTTTACCTGTTCCTTCTGGCTAATCTCATGCTGATGTCATTCCAGGATGTATGTTATGGGATGTATGTTCCAGGATGTATGTTATGGGAAAGGGTCTGGGCAAAATTCTCACAACCTTGAGGTATTTTTTTTTATCTATTCCCAGCAGCTACTTGAGAAGTATATAAGGCCCCACTTAAATTAGTGAGGCGGGTACTCTCCTGCCCCTTTCTGGTGTCTATCAGATGTCAGAAGGTTTTTTTTTGTCACTTTCACTTTAAATCCACACAAAGCTCTGAGTGACTGAGACTGTCTTTGGTCCTGAAGTTAAATCTCTTTCAGAGACCACGAATCCGGTGGCACCGCTGACTGTTCATCACTAAGATATCAGTATTTATATATCAGCTGCCCTTGGTCAGTGGATGGGGGATGCTCCCAGGCAGCACTGCCCGCCAGGAGTGGAGGCCTGCCTCCTGCTGATACAGGCAGAACTGTCTCTAAGGACCAGAGAAAGAGGTCAAGTAGAGGGTCACGAGTGTTGGACAGTGGAAGCCAAGTGGCATGAGAGGATGTTGGGTTCTGATAACTGCCACACTTGCAGAAGAAGCCAATGGATTACTGATATTCTTGCCAAGATAAATTTAAGGAATATCTGAGCTATTTGGTAACAATCATTCATCCCTAGCAGCCTTTGATTTCACAAGTGGAGGTACATGAGCAATCTTATCCTTGTCTTAAAAGCTTTTTGAAAGTTTGAATGCATGGCATTCATGTTACAATTAGGGTCGAAAGAAGGTTTTTAATGCCAATCATATTTTTTTAAAAGGCTTTTTATTATGGAAAATCTCAGATATCCACAAAATCAGAGAGAACAGTCACTCGAGTGACTCATGGCCAATCTTGCCTTTCTATAAACCTTAAATTCATTTTCAATTAGCCTAAAAAGGGCTGCTTTCCAGTCTCTCTTCTTCTAAATTTAAATACAATGAAGGCAAAAACTCATCAAAAATATGATGAGACAAAAAATAAGTGATTGCCAGAGGTAGTTTGGGGAAGAGATGAATAGAGCAGAGAGAATTTTTAGGGCAGTGAAAATACTCTGTATGGTATTACAATGATGACCAAGATTGAACCCTAAGGTAAAGTAATGGGCTTCAGGTGACTATGATGTGTTAACATACTATATATATATATGGCTATACATGTGTGGGGACAAGGGATACACGGGAAACCTTTGTACCTCCCTCTCGATTGTGTTGTAAATCTCAACCTGCTCTAAAAAAAAACTTTAAAACAATACTTTTAAACAATAATTTTAAAATTTAACTGTAACTTACGTGTCATGGTAAAAGGGAAGAAAAACACCTTTGCTAACTATAGTCTTTTCTCATTAATAGGGAGTGGTCTTAAGACACAGTGAATTCCACTGGCTAATTATTACTGGAAAAAACAATTTAGTAGCGACTCTACACAAAAATGAAGGCAAAAGGAGAAGAGGGAGGCAGAGAATGAGATGGTTAGATAGTATCACCAACTCATTGGGTGTGAGTTTGAGAAAACTCTAGGAGATAGCGAAGGACAGGGAAGCCTGGAGTGCTGCAGTCCACAGGGTCACAAAGAGTCAGACGTGACTTCAAGACTGGACAACAGCTATGTAAAATCTAATCATTTCACTTGGCAGACACTCCCTTTGGTTAAAGTAGAATACAAAAGTGTCCCACAAGTGGGACACCATCCGTGCGGCCAGTCAGGGCTACATTCTGAGTTGCCTCCTCCTGACCCAGGCAACTGTCTGTACGCCGTCTACACACAGTCTCCCCAACTTTCAACTCTTCCACTGGTGAGGCAGGGCCTCGCCATCAGAATAAGACGTATGCTTTGTCACCTTAGCCGCTCAGTCATGTCTCATTGTGACCCCACGGACTGTAGCCTGCCAGGCTCCTCAGTCCGTGGAATTTTCCAGACAAGATCCTAGAGTGGGTTGCCATTCCCTTCTCCAGTGGATTTTCCCAACCCGGGTATCGAACCTGTGTCTCCAGCAATGCAGGCAGGTTATCATCTGAGCCACCAGGGAAACCCTGAAGAAGGGCCCATCTGATGGTTAACATGCCCTCACTGTTCCTGAGGCCAAACAGGGCTCATGCTTTTGGCGCAGAGCTCTGGAGTGTTAAGTGAAATACTTGGTCAGGCACTTGAGCAGATTAAAAAGTCCTTTTTGAAAAGGTGTTTGACTCTGACTGCAAGCCTCTGTGTGGCCTAGCCTGGCAGGGGAATGAACGTCCGTGTGTGGGCAGGGATAGATTCCTAGAGCAGGAGCCAAGCCCCTGGCTGTGTGTCTGCTGCAAAAATCATCTAGAATGGACCTCTTTCATTAACAACCTTTGGCATCTAGGAAGCTACTCCAGTTGGTAGCACAGCACAGTGGAAAGAACACAGATTTTAAGGCTGGATTCCTGATTCGCCACTTTCTGTGTGACTTTCAACAAGTTACAGAATCTTTTCAGGCTTCAGGTTTTCTTACTTGCAAGACTGGGATGGTTTGCACAGGACTGTTATATGCAAATGAAAGTAGGTTACTTATGCAAAGTGCTGGGCATACAGATTTTAAATAATTACTGATTCTCTTCTTGCTCTTTGACTTTCCTTCTCTTCTTTCTGAGCCACAAATAACAGCTTACATTTATTGAGTGCTGTCTAGGAGCCGAGCACTGCCTTATCCACATGTAATCCTCACCTCACCCCCATGTGGTGCTGTTATTCCAGGCATTACATCCGTCTGCTTGGGCTGCCATATAAAATATCAGAGGCTGAGTAGCTGAAATAATAGAAATTAATTTTCTCACAGTTCTGGGAGCTGGCGGTCCTGGATCAAAGCATTGGAGAGTCTGGCTTCCCCCAAGGCCTCCCTCTGGCTTGTAGATGGCTACTGTTTCCCCACATGGCCCTAACCCCTTTGTGTGTGTGCCTTGGTGTCTCCTCCTCTTCTTATGATGACACCAGCCACATCGGATTAGGCCCCCACTCTTACGACCCTAATGGCAGAAAGCAAAGAGGGACTAAAGAGCCTCTTGATGAAAGTGAAAGGAGAGTGGACAAGCTGGCCTAAAACTCAACATTCAAAAAACAAAGATCATGGCATCCAGTCCCATCACTTCATGGCAAATAGAGGGGGGAAAAGTGGAAACAGTGGCAGATTTTATTTTCGTGGACTTCAAAATCACTGTGGACAGTGACTGCAGTCATGAAATTAAAATATGCTTGTTCCTTGGAAGGAAAGCTATAACAGACCTAGATAGCATATTAAAAAGCAGAGACCTCACTTTGCAGACAAAGGTCCATATAGTCAAAGCTATGGTTTTTCCAGTAGTCACATATAGATGTGAGAGTTGGCCCATGAAGAAGGCTGAGTGCTTGAGTTAATGCTTTTGAATTGTGGTGTTGGAGAAGACTCTTGAGATTCCTTGGACTGCAAGGAGATTGACTTTAGGAGTCAATCCTAAAGGAAATCAACTCTGAATATAAATTGGAAGGATTAATGCTGAAGCTGAAGCTCCAATCCTTTGGCCACCTGATGGGAAGAGCTGATTCATTGGAAAAGACCCTGATGCTGGGAAAGAATGAGGGGAGCAGGAGAAGATGGCTGGATAGTATCACCGACTCAGTGGACATGAGTTTGAGCAAACTCTGGGAGATAGTGAAGGACAGGGAAGCATGGGGTGTTACAGTCCAGGGAATCAGAAACATCTGAGTGACCAAATAGCTTATGATTGCTGTTGCTGCTGCTGCCAAGGCACTTCAGTCATGTCCAACTCTGTGCGACCCCATAGACGGCAGCCCACCAGGTTCCTCTGTCCCTGGGATTCTCCAGGCAAGAATACTGGAGTGGATTGCCATTTCCTTCTCCAGGGGCTCTTCCGAATCCAGAGATCCAACCCTCATCTCCTACACTGGCAGGTGGACTTTTTACTCCTGAGGTACTAGGGAAGCCCTATTGTCAATGACTGACTGTATATATTCAGTCATGGGCTGTCCTAGAATTTGACAAAAACTGAAATGAAAATTCAAGGTGAAAGATAGGACAAGCCTAGACAAGGTAGAGTCCTACCGCCCATTTGTGACTTGGAGTTCCATTTTTCAACATAAACTGTAATATGCCAATTTAATAAACATTCATTTATTTTCAGCAAAGCCCAGATTCCTTTGGTTCCCACTGCAGAGCCTTTTCAGAAATACTTATGAGAATTATCATAGAGAAAATGATCCAAGGTGTTTGCTGTCTTGGTCAGCTGGGCCCCCCGTAATAAATACTACAGGCTGAGTGCCTTAAACAACAGAAATTTATCTCCTTGCAGTTCTGGAGCCTGGAGTTCTGAGATCAGGACAGCAGCACAGTTGACTTCTGGCTTGCAGACAGCTATCATCTCACTGTGTGCTCACAGATTACAAATCTTCTGGGCTCCCCTCTTAGAAGGGTGCTAACTAAAGCATGAGGGCCCCACCCTCATGACTTCATCTAAATCTAATTATATCTCAAAGGTCCTATCCAAATACTACCACATTGGGCTTCAACATATGAATTTTAGGGACACAATTCAGTCCATGTGTGCATGTGTGCTAGGTCTCTTCAGTCATGTGTGACTCTTTGCTACTTTATGTACTGTATCCCATCATGCTCTGCTATCCATGGGATTCTCCAGGCAAGAATATTGGAGTAGGTAACCATTTCCTACTCTAGAGGATCTTCCTGACCCAGAGATTGAACCCACATCTCCTGCATTACTGGCGAATTCTTTACTACTGAGGCATCTGGGAAGCCCTGAGAATCTCACACTTAGAGCTTAAAGCAATGGTTCTCAAAAAGAATAGACGGGTTGAAAATCAACCTTGTGGGGTTGCAAAGTTTAGAAGCAAAGAGTAAGATGCTAGGCCAGGGGGTGAGATCCAGTTTTACAGAAGTTAAATGGTTATACTAGGCACTAGCCATGCACCATGACAAAGATATGACTGAAATATTAGTACTGAATAAGTACATGTGGAAAATCTGCTTTTCCCAGAAGGAGAGAGAAACTAATTTGGCAATCCTTGAAAGACTTAAAAGCCTTGATAGTGTTAGCCTCTACTCAAGTTACAACTTGCATCAAACATCAAAGAGATTTCAGCTGTGTTGAGGTGGTTGCATTGGCCACCATGTTTTCTCTCATATGGATTGCTGTGTAGATTAGGTGATTTATTTATAACTGGATCTATTCAACATGGAATTGATTCATCAGAGCCATAATTATTGAATAAATAAATGCTTTTGACCTCAGTATTTGCCTTGACCAGTTCAGTTCAGTCACTCAGTTGTGTCTGACTCTTTGCGACCCCATGGACTGCAGCATGCCAGGCCTCCCTGTCCATCACCAACTCCTGGAGTTTACCCAAACTCATGTCCATTGAGTCGGTGATGCCATCCAACCATCTCATCCTCTGTCATCCCCTTCTCCTCCCACCTTCAATCTTTTCCAGCATCAGGGTCTTTTCAAATGAGTTAGCTCTCTGCATCAGGTGGCCAAAGTATTGGAGTTTCAGCTTCAACATCAGTCCTTCCAATGAACATTCAGGACTGATTTCCTTTAGGATGGACTGGTTTGATCTCCTTGCAGTCCAAGGGACTCTCAGGAGTCTTCTCCAACACCACAGTTCAAAAGCATCAATTCTTTGGCACTCAGCTTTCTTTATAGTCCAACTCTCACATTCATACATGACTACTAGAAAAACCATAGCCTTGACTAGACAGACCTTTGTTGACATCCATACATGACTATTGGGAAAACCATAGCCTACCTTGATCATACAGCTTATTTTTTAATAGAAAATATTAGGACATTAATTTTACATCCATGCCTCGAATCACTTGATATTTCAAAAAGATGATACCTTTCTTCTTTGAGTTGGGTAAGTATTCATGCTCTTCTTTGACAGAGATTTTGCAACTCTTGATTCGACAGAAAAAAGATCGTCTTGAGCCAGAATACACACGATTCTTACTTGTGTGGAAATTACTGTGAACTTGCAAAGCAGCTTTCATAGTGCAAGGAGGCAAGAGAATAGGAAGAAAATAATGTTTTCAAATAATTTTTAAATGTATTTCCTCATGTGTTCTGGTCATCTATGGTTATGGACATCATTGTACAGCAAATCCCAAAGTGAAACACACCAAAAAATGTATTATAATCACTTGCAATTTATCTTTATATTTTTCCCCAGGGGGCAGATAGTAAAGATAACATAAACAAAATAAAAATTACATGAAAAAACTTAACTAAAACAGTATCAGTGGCATAAAACATCATTATCTTATATGATAAACAATTATTAGGCAATAAGTAGTTTCAGAGAAAAGAAGTATTTCTGGAAAAGGTAGAGAATATGTATACTTCCCAAGAACAATTATACAAGGTCTTTCACATTGAGAAGACCTGACACATTTGAGAAAGAGAATAGTTATCCCTCAGCAAACAACTAAATAATAAAAAACTCCAGCAATTTTTTTATCCCAAATGACACTTTCCAATAAAGATTTTATTAGCATATGAAAGCTAGAGACTATGAAGTAATCACATTTTCCCAAAAGCATCTTCATATATTTGCTTTGATACATGAATTCTCTATATAGCGATATTTTTAAAACTGAGGTTGATGATTATAAAGTTATTAAATAATTCTCCCCTCGATAAAACTATAATTAACTAACTTTTCAAAAAACAATATTGCTGTACTTTTAAGTAAGAATTATATTCTCATAAAATGATAAGGTTGAAATGAGTACTTACCTTTGGCGTCTATTAGCTTCTCTCTGGGTGAAATATCAGAGGAAGAAAGTTGTTCCTTTACTTTGGAAACATCTTTTGGATGTAAGAAGTCAAATAAGCTTTGTCCAATCAAACTAGCCTATTTATAAGGTAGAAGTTCATTTAAAATCAGTATCATGTTATTTCTATGTTTCCTCAAACAAACAAATGATACTGTTTCTTTAGTTAAAGTGGCTTTTTCTTAAGCTTGGATAGATCAGCTACACTGGGTGAAGTTACCTTAGTGTTAAAAGCAGAGTAAAACTTGTAGACCAAAAAAAAGTACATATACACAGACCCATAATTGGATACACACAAATCACATACACACACCTAATAACTAACATTTTATTTAAACTTAATCATTGGTAAAAGTGGTAAAGAAAAAAAAAGTGGGCTTCCTGAGTAGCTCAGTTGGTAAATAATCCACCTGCAATGCAGGAGACCCCAGTTTGATTCCTGGGTTAGGAAGACCCCCTGGAGAAGGGATAGGCTACCCACTCCAGTATTCTTGGGCTTCCCTTGTGGCTCAACTGGTAAAGAATCCACCTGTAATGAGGGAGACCTGGATTTGGTCCCTGGGTTGGGAAGATCCCCCGGAAAAGGGATAGGCTACCCATTCCAGTGTTCTGGCCTGGAGAACTCCATGGACTGTATAGGCTATGGGGTCACAATGAGTCAGACACAACTGAGCAAATTTCACTTTTCACTTTCACTTTCATTGGTAAAAGTAAAAATATTATATTACAGAATAATATAAAAGACACAGAATACCTATGATCTCATGATGTGACTCAGAAATTTACCATACTGCCTTAAAAAATTACCACACTATTCGTAAACCAAACCCAAGTTGGTACACCTCCTACTTGGCATTTCACTTCTCCCCACATGCAGAGCATTCCTTGGCCCATGACTTTGTTTGCATGGCCTCATCACCTGGAAATCACTGCCTCTTCTCTATAAATCCAGCTCCCTGGCCAAGCTAGCCAACTGCCTTTTACTCCCTAACTTCCAAGATTCCCTTTCCAAACCTGAAATGTCTTCCTCCTCCTCTCTGCTCTAAACTAGCAGACATTCTACTTCACATGTGAAGCCCACAGTGATCACTCTCTTCTGAACTCCTTTATTACCCAAGTAGACCTTCCTAGGGAAGGCAGAACAAATGGACCAGTTGGTCCAAGTGGCCTGGAGTGCTTGGCAGTTAAATCAGTATAGTTCAGTCACTCAGTCATGTCCAACTCTTTGCGACCCCAGAGACTGCAGTACACCAGGCTTCCCTGTCCATCAACAACTCCAGGAGCTTACCCAAACTCATGTCCATTGAGTTGGTGATGCCATNAGGACAAGACCCTGTACCATGGGGACCCTGAAGTCCTCCTGAGCAGTCAGTGAATCTCTTGGTCTCTGAAATGCAAGGTCAGTGTCCAGTGGGACTGGACTCCATGTCACTAATTTGGAACTTAAGAGCTATCTTAAACTGCCAAGTATCTTGGTGTGTGCCTATGTGAGTGATGTTCTCTATTTCTAATTAGAAAATTTAATAATCAAATCAGCTGCATGATTCCTTTGGTCTTCACTCTTTCATATGTAGGCTCATACTAGTTCTTTTATTTAACTCATTATCTATGAATGCCTTCCATCTCTCCATATTTTCAAGTTTTGGGGAGAATATAGCTTGAGATTGATGAGAGCTATTTATGACCAAAGCTGTTATCTTTATATCTATTACATATTATAATATATACATATTATATTATTTTACTGTATTTCTGTTTTAAAGGAGACCACAAGTACTAGTTTATTCTCTCTGTTAGTTTCAATCCTATAGTTTTTGAGTAACTAGTTTAAATTAAATGGTGTTCAAAAACGAGGAGACAAATCAATCACAGTGCTGGTTAAATAAAGGATGTATTTCAGAATTTGTTGCCAGAGCCTAGAGCCAAAGCTGTTTTGCAATGCATATAGCTTAATAAATATTAATGCTCTCTCTTAGAGGAAACAGGCAAGGGTGACTAATATCTTTCCAACACTTAAATATGATATCTTATTTAATGCGTTTATATCCTGAAAAACAGGTATAATCATGATTTCCATTTTTTACATAGGAGGAAGCTGAGGTTCAAGAAAATGAAAGAATTTGCTAAAGGAAGTAAATACTCCTGTCAGTAACAAAAATTCATACTCTTTCCACATATCTTGCCATCTCTCTTGAAATTCTAACTCAGCAGAACCCAATCCCACAACCCAGGGGGAAGAAAGAGTTCAGAAAAAGAGCTTCAAAATAAACATAGTAAGAAATATTCTCAGTTTTGGATACCTGATCATAATTAAGTATTTTGGAGACCGATTTAGAAACGAAGAGAATTTTTCCTCTTTCACATCCAACCACAAATAGGAAGCCTTCTGCAGTCTAGGATTTAAAAATATAATACAAGGTGAATATTTTAAAAGGTCTTGTGGTTCACTGATTTATGTAGGTATAGACATTAGATTTATTTTGCTCTTCTTGATGTATTAACCTACCCACAGTTTAAATTCTAACCAGCATTGTAAACAATTAAAAAACAAGTTAATTTGAGTGTTAATGGGTAGAGTTTCTTTTGAAGGTGATGACAATGTTCGAAAACTGCACTGTGGGAGTTTCCTGGTGGTCCAGTGGCTAAGAGGCCATGCTTCCAATGCAGAGGGCCCAGGTTCGATCCCTAGTCTGGGAACGAGATCCCACATGCCGCAATTAAGACTTTTCAAGCCTCAACTAAAGATCACATGTACCACAGCTAAGACCTGGTACAGTCAAATAAATAAATATTTAAATTTTTTCTTTAAAAATGATAAGAGTTGCATTGTGATTATGATTGCATAACTCTGTGAATATACTAAAAACCATATGGTATGTGAATTATCTCAAAGAAAGGAGTTAAACAAAAAATAAAATAAAAGATCTTCTGTCTCTCTTATACATACACATTCAGATTTTGAGAAAATTATTGTAGCAATAAAACTAAAGAGTAGTCGTAAGAGCTAGTAAAGTTAATTTTAAGAAATTTTCTCATTATATAAAAAGATTGATAACATCAAATTGAACTCCAGTCAAAACTAATGTTTTTGATCTGGAAAGTCCAGGCATGTATTATTAAATTGAACTATTTCATAATATAAAAATTACCTGTGTCAAATTCTATACTCATATAGAAACTGTAAACATATCAAAACACATCCATAACAGTTGCCTGTGGATGTGTTGAGATGGAAGGACTGTGCAGACTGGGATAAAGGAAGCATCAGGAATACTATATTTGAATTCAGCTGTTCAGATAAAAAAGGGGCTCTTAAAAAAATTAAAGGACAAATGTATATAAAATCTTTCTATTTAGTCATACTAAGGCATAAAGCCTGGTAGTAACAGCATAAGATCAAGAAACATATTGCCTCCTGGGGGCAGGATAAGCCAATGACATGGTCATATTTTCCACATCAAGTAAACCTCTAGACCAGTGAATCTGATGCATTTGAAATGATGAGGACAGAAATGGCAAAGCATTGACTAACAACCCATTCAGTAAGCAGTGGCTGGCTCTGCAGAGGATAGGATACTGAAGGAATTGAGTACAAGATAGATGGCTTTGAAGGGGGGCGGTGATAGTGGGGCACAGAGCTTACAGTATGGGAGGTGAGTTTGTCAGGAAGCATAAGGAGCTTAGCGTTAAAGACTAGCTATACTCTCTGCTTTGGAATATGCTCATCCTCTGCCTCTACATTCATTAGCTCAAACTAATAAGACACGGGCTTCCCTGGTGCCTCAGATGGTAAAGAATCTGCCTGCAATGTGGGAGATCTGGGTTCGATCCCTGTGTTGGGAAGATCCTCTGGAGGAGGGAATGGCAACCCACTCCAGTATTCTTGCCTGGAGAATTCCTTGGACAGAGGAACCTAGCAGGCTATGGTTCAGGAGGTTGCAAAGAGTTGGACACAACTGACACAGTTACTTGTATAACTTAAATTTTTATCTTAAAGGAAATTTGGCATAATATAGATTCCTGTACAACAGTAAGTGAACTGAAGAAAATCTTCCTCCCATTCAGACAAAAATGAAAGGACAATACAACTTAGACAACCATATCTCTTTACTTACCTTAAGAATTAAGTGTCTGAGCTCATTATCGTGAATGAATGAAGGTCTGTCATTATTTCCTGCGTAAGAACTTGTCATACCTAAAAACAAAGAAGTCATATAGTTAACTGAAAATCAAGTAGAGATGGAAATATAGTAAATGCTCAGTGAATATTAGCAAATTCTGGGGCTGCTATTGGTGATGACAAGGATGATGGTATTTTCTCTTCTAGCATACTCTAAGATCTCTTCTACAATTATTCTCTTTCTTTCTTGTTACTAGATTGCAATTTCCTGCTTTCAAATAAATTCTTAGAGCTACTTATTCCTTTATACACAAATGTACAGACAGTAAAAGCTGTATATTGAAAAGAGATAAAAATGCAATNCATCAGGATGAATCAGTCAGAGGCATACATGTGTCCTTTCTACCCTGTAACCCCTCTCCCACCTCCCTCCCTCTAGGTTATCACAGAGCACCAGCTTTGGGTGCTCTGGATCATGTATCAAACTCCCACTGGCTATCTATTTTACATATAGTAATGTATCTTTCAATGCTATTCTCTCAAATCATCCCACCCTCTCCTCCCACTGAACTCAAAAGTCTCAGCTAATATATTTATATTTCTCTTAATATTTTGGTATTTTCTTAAAAGACCAAGTGGCCTCAGAAAGTAGGCAACCAAGTGTCTCTCAATAAGTGCCAATGAAGAACCCAAAGTGGCTCGGCTGGAAAGGTCACAGATCTGCAAACTCAAGCCTGCCTGACTTCAAAGCCAGTGCACTTTCCTCAGTATAATATCCTCTAGTCTTAGGGACACAGGGGACACTCTACCCCACCCCGTTTTTTTTTTGTGTGTGGAAAATACGATCCCACTGAGCCTTTGTCAGAGAATGCTAATCACTCATGAGGCTACCTGTGCAACCCTGAGACCGAATGAGGCAAATGCTTGCTAAGGTGGGAAGGAGACCTCAAACTTTGGGGTTGTTGTTTAGTCGCTAGATCGTGTTCAACTCTTTTGGGACCCCCATGGACTGCAGCGCGCCAGATGCTCCGAGGAAGATGATGTGCAGTACCACCGTTTACCAGCAGGGGGCAGGCGAGTCTGCTCTTGTTCTCGTGTAGGGCGTAGGAACACTAGAACGTTTTCAGGAGCTCTTAGGTAGGTTGAGATCATGAAGCACCAGCCATGATCTTCTTCCTTCTAGACAGGGATTTTGAGCTGTGAGATCCACAGTGGGCATGTGAGGTGGGCTTTGTAGCCCCATTTTACAGAGACTGAGATAGGTTGAGTGGTCTGTCCAAGGTCACATAGCCTTGCATATCCTGGGTCCCCAAATCAAATTATTTTTGCTGCACATCTTGGGCTGCTCCTGGTACAAGATACTGGCTCTTTGGTAGATCTGACAATTTTACAAATGTGTATATGACATTTCCACATACAGGTGGTGCTGGTGGTAAAGAACTGGTCTGCTAATGTAGGAGACGTAGAGAGATATGGGTTTGATCCCTGGGTTAGGAAGATCCGCTGAAGTAGGAAACGGCAACCCACTCCAATATTCTTGCCTGGGAATCCCATGAACTGAGGAGCCTGGCGGGCTACAGTCCATGAAGTTGCAAAGAGCTGGACACGACTTAGCGACTAAACCACCACCACCAATTACCTAAGTGGTGGGGAAAGAACAAAACCAGAAAATAAAACATCCTCATAGAATGATTTGGTAAAGTCTTCTCAGACTGGCAGCACCCTTACAAGGCCTGACATAAGCAAAAGAAAGCTATTTTGGAATCTACCTTCTAAGTAGCCCTCAAAGAATCTCCCCACACGACTTCTTGTTATTATACTTATTGTTATCAGTCCCCAGGAGACTTGTAGGAGGGAGTTGAGAAAAGGCTAAAGATGCAGACCTGAGTGCCCAGCTCGCACGGGAATAAATCGGTGCGATCGAGGCAGTGACACACGCAGGCTGGTCTGAAGCGAGGTTTGCAGAACTGTGCTGAGGTAACCCAGCTGGTGTCAGTCAGCCAGAGTGGGTGAGCCCTGGCTAAACAGATGAGTGAGGACGTGAGGACATGCCAGCGAGGAAAAGAGGGCGGTCAGTGTAGAGCTGAAGTTAGGGTGAAGTGAGCTAACAATGCATGGTGTGTGATTCTGTCTAGTGGCAAAAACAAACACGGAACATGAGCACTTACTTTTATTAAGTTCTTCATTGTCATTTACTGTCATTTTGTTTTATTGTGCTCTTCATCATCATTGAAAATGACAATATGACAATACTAATGACAATGATCATTATAACGATAAGGATAATAAGGACCAATATGACAATAACAACTCTTCTGCCTCATCCTCGGACCGCCACCTCCACCATTAAGAAACACTGCGCTCAAGGAACTCCCTGACGACCTGCCTCAGGGAAAGGAAAGGCTACCCACTCCAGTATTCTTGCCTGGAGAATTCCATGGACGGAGGAGCCTGGTGGGCTACATACAGTCCATGGGGTTGCAGAGAGTCCAACACGACTGACAGACTAACATACACACACATGGAAATGTAAAACTACTGGGGCATACCAGCCTATGAGCGTTTTCCCCTTAATTAATTGTGCTATATTTTACAATGGATAGGGAAGGGAAATACTTGCCCTTTCCCCAGATAATTTGAGATGCACTGCTGTAGAATGTAGAGAAAAAAATCATTTCACATCCTTTGTCTTCAGAGTAATTATCTGTGGACCATCTACATGCAACCCTCTCATGGCATCTGGGCATTTGGTGATGGAATTGGGGTACCCTCTGGCCGGAGCACTGGAATGCAGCCCCAGCTGCTCTATGTCATCTCACCCATGTCACCCATGGGTAACACTAAGGATCTGGTCAGGATGTCTGATGAGGATATGACCAATTTGCTTCAGTTTACAAGAATCGATGGTGAAATCTATGTTCTGTTCCAAAGTACCCCTGTCCTTTTCCTTTCCTGTCTAGATTTAGACAGTGTCTCAGCTCTATGTCATCTCACCCATGTCACCCATGGGTAACACTAAGGATCTGGTCAGGATGTCTGATGAGGATATGACCAATTTGCTTCAGTTTACAAGGATCAATGGTGAAATCTATGTTCTGTTTCAAAGTACCCCTGTCCTTTTCCTCTCCTGTCTAGATTTAGACAGTGTCTCCTCCTTACTGAGTTCGCCCGGCGGCTCATCCCATGCATACTTCCACATAGTATTTATCACACTGGGTGCTAATGATCTCTCCCTGGGTCTATCTTCCTTATAAACCATGTAAGCCTGCCCCTAGCGCAGAGCTCTTGCCTCATTCATTTGCCTAACCCCAGCACAGAACAAGAACCCAGCGGATGCTCAGTGCATACTTATTGAATTAGGTTGCTGATTCATAGCTTTTCCCTCAGGTCCTCCTCCCTCAGAACGCTGTGAATGTGAAAACTGTTGGGCAATTTTAGGGTTGCAATCAAATGACCTCAGTTGAACCTGCTAATGTTCATTGCTAACAGATTTAAGAGATTTATTGCACACAACTTACGCAAGGCCTAGTTGTGAATAAAAGAGAATCTTCTTTCACAATGGACTGTTACGAACAAAAGACCACCAGTCGTGCTCCCAGAAGGAAGCCTGCCAGGCAGTCCCCCAACCCCAGGGCTGCTGTACATATGGATGGAGAGCTGTCCTCGCTTTTCCCCACAGCCTGCTCTCCAGACCTACTCGAGCTCGGCTGGAGCGCATAAGCCAGTTTTCTACCATCTGCAGATACCTAAGGAAGGTGCTTTAAAGCACAGCTTGCACAAACTACTATTAAACAGCTCTGTAATAGCTGTCTCTAGTTTTACTTCCTAATGTGTCGATGCCCCTTCCTCCTCCAATCTGAGTTGATATGTCAGGATTTTTTGGTTCATTATGAAGTAAGATCCTCTTGGTCTGGGCTCCAGTTTGCATGTGGAATCCAGGTAATACCACTCTCCTCTAAGCCACTTTAACTCAACTTGGCAAAATCTGTGTTCTGGCCACAGAACTTCCTTTTCCCTAAAACAGATTGTCCTTTTCCTGGCAAGCAGTTCAGGACAGAGACCTAAATAAGACTGTTGGCCTTCCTTTGTTTATTCTTTTTAATACTTTTGGAGCAAGATTTCACAAAAATCTTTTAGATCTTTACAAATCTGAACCTTCAGAGTCTCCTCTGCAGTCTGCAGAAAACTCACTGGCCAGGTCTTCAGACTGTATCAAAATGAATTTATGTCACCAACAATCTTGTATCTAAAGCCCCAGTCTATTTCCATCATTCTGTCCCTCAAGTTGGACTGGGTTTATTCCCAAAACAGATGTGATTTTAACTACACATGTACACAGAATGTTTATTACACTTTGATTTAAAATTCAAGTTCAGGGCTTCCCTGACTCAGGGGTAATCCGCCTGCCAATGCAGGAGACATGGGTTCGATCCCTGATCCGGGAAGATCCGCCATGCCATAGAGCTGCCAAGCCCATGCACCACAACTGTTGGGCCTGTGCTCTAGAACCTGGGAGCCACAACTACTGAGCCCATGGGCCGCAACTACCGAAAGCCCCGTGCCCTGCAACCAGAGCAGCCAGCTCAATGCAAAACCTGCACACCACAACTGGAACGTGGCCCCTGCTCACCACAACTACAGAAAAGCCCACACAGCAACAAGACACAGCATGGCCAAAAGTACATAAATAAATAAATAAAATTCGTTTTAAAATTTTTTAGTTCAAAGTCAGAAATGATCACGCATACCCCAATCCTCATCAGCTGAGGACCTCCCTCATCCAATATGTAAGACTATCTTAGTTTATGTGAGACTATATGAGTAAGTGGAGACACATACTAATAGTAAGGTGTGATGCATTTGCAGGTACTACTTACAAGTCTGAATGAAGTTTTAAGAGAAATGGATGAGTTTAAAGAGTTTTTCTTTTCTAACAATGGAAATCTGACAATAACTTAAAATTACCATAGCTAAATATTTCAGAACTTCTAAACTAGGTATGCATGACAGGTATCATCACCTTAATATTATACCTGGGAAGACAAGTAGAAATGTAAAGACTTTTCAAGTTCACATAGTAAACCTAAGATGAAGTGTTTAGTGAAACCAACTTTTCTGACATCCAAATTAGTACCTTCTCCACCTATGGAATATGGATGAGCATCAAAATGAATACACATAAAGCTGAAAGACGCATGTGTATAAAATCTCAGTAGCCAAGAACAACAAACCAGGGACCTCAATTACAGGGGAGACTTCACAAACCCGAGTGTGGAGGCCATCTTCCAACTCACCTTTTAAAGATCTCAAGTGTTGAACAGCCATTCTTAAAACTGTCAGTTTATCCAGTTTCCGGGCCATGGGACTGCACTGAGGGATCATCGTAGACAGTTTTCCAATCAGGTTGTTCATTTTATCTCTCCTCCGCTTTTCAGTTTGGCTGTGAGCTTCTCTAAGAAGGAGAAAGCGCCTCTGTTATATTTAACATTCAGCAGACACTCAGAGACCCCGGAGGCACTAGCAGGAACACGGATGGGGCCAGCAAGCTCCCGCTCTTCTTCCTCCTGACCTTGACCCTGCAGGTGGCATTCAGGGACAAGGCAGGAGCGGCTGGGACAGGAGTGGCATTGTTCACACTGTTTTTACCAGCCTCCACCTCCTGCCCCCACTACCCTTGCTCCTTCCCTTCTGACCTTACTCCCTGAAATCTGCAAGAAATAAGATTTCCCACTCCAGTATTCTTGCCTGGAGAATCCCATGGACAGAGGAGCCTGGCAAGCTATGGTCCATAGGGTCACATGACTGAAGCTAGACATAGGATCGAACACGACTGAAGTGACTTAGCACATGAGAGCTGAGGTGGATTTTTTTTTTTCCACTTCCCTCTTAGAGGAAGAGATGTGTGTGTGTGCACAGTCATGCCTAACTCTTTGTGACCCCATGGACTGTAGCCCGCTGGGCTCCTCTGTCCATGGGATTTCCCAGGCAAGAATACTGGAGTGGGTGGCCATGCCTTCTGCAGGGATCTTCCCAACCGGGGGATCAAACCTGAGTCTCCTGCATCTCCTGAATTGGCAGACAAACTCTTCACCACTGCATCACCCAGGGAGCCCCTGAGAAAGAGATGGATTGCCTTCTATTCAAAGCTAACTTCTCTGGTCTTCGCTTGAACAGTTACCAGCATCCTGAGCTCACTCTCTTTCACAGCTCCTTCTATGTGTCAATAAAGGGGCTCAAGTCTCTTCCCTTTAGGGGAAAAAAAAAACATTTTCTCTAAATCTAGTGATTTTTTCCCCCTTCCCTCTTCCCTCCTCAGCCAGCTTCCTGAGGCTGTTGTCTCACTCAACCTTCCATCTCCAGGGTCTCTCCATCTATTAAAGCAACCTCCCATAGCCCCCACTCCATTAAAAATCACCACTGCATCACCCAGGAAGCCCCTGAGAAAGAGATGGGTTGCCTTCTATTCAAAGCTAACTTCTCTGGTCTTCGCTTGAACAGTTACCAGCATCTTGAGCTCACTCTCTTTCACAGCTCCTTCTGTGGGTCAATAAAGGGGCTCAAGTCTCTTCCCTTTAGGGGAAAAAAAAAACCATTTTCTCTAAATCTAGTGATTTTTTTCCTCTTCCCTCTTCCCTCCTCGGCCAGCTTCCTGAGGCTGTTGTCTCACTCAACCTTCCATCTCCAGGGTCTCTCCATCTATTAAAGCAACCTCCCATAGCCCCCACTCCATTAAAACCACTCTAGCAGAAGTCACCCTCATGTTATGCAACCCCAGCTGTTCCCTACCTTGAACTGGACACTGATGCCATTTTTCATTCTTTGTTGGTTTCTGCTCCACCATCCTCCCGCCTCAGCTCTTCCTCTGTCCTTCAGTACTGGTCCCTGAGATCCCTTACTTGGCACTACTCTTCCTTCACCCTGAGAGACTGCATTCTCTCAGAAGGCTTTACAGCAACTCATAAGCTACTTAACCATTTAATCCCTATCTCATTCATACCTCATCCAATTCCAGACCTTCAGAACGAGAAGAATGCACATCAATGATTCAAAGCACCCTAAAACTCAACAAATCCCAAACTGAATGCATTCTTTGCAACTGGCCTCATTTTAATTCTTCCTCTGCCAGCCCTGATTACTCCTTTTCTTTTTATAGGGCTTATCTTGATTGGTGACACCACTGGACTCATGCTAGACCCTTTATTCTTCTTCACCTGGAAGAACCAAATAATCACAAACTCCTATAAATTCTTGTTTTAAAATTATTTCTTAAAGGTGTCTTTTGCTTCTCTCCATCCACCTGTTACTGTCTTAGGGTTAGTCATTCAGTTGTGTCCAACTCTTTGTGACCCCATGGACTGTAGCCTGCTGGGCTCCTCTGTTCATGGAATACTCCAGGCAAGAATACTGAAATGGGTAGCCATTTCCTTATCCAGGGGATCTTCCTGACCCAGGCATAGAACCCATGTCTTCTGCACTGGCAAATGGATTCTTTACAATGGTGCCACGTGGGAAGCCCCATGATACTCACTGCAAAACCCCTAAAAGCCTTTGAAATTGATATTACTGCTTCTTCAAGTATCTTCCTTATCTACTCTATCCTACCCATGGCTTCCAGAATTATTGTTTTAAAATAAAACTATCTAATCCCATGGCATAAAGGGTGTTGGAGAAGACTTGAGAGTCCCTTGGACTGCAAGGAGATCCAACCAGTCCATCCTAAAGGAGATCAGTCCTGGGTGTTCATTGGAAGGACTGATGTTGAAGCTGAAACTCTAATCCTTTGGCCACCTGATGCAAAGAGCTGACTCACTGGAAAAGTCCCTGATGCTGGGAGGGCTTGGGGGCAGGAGGAGAAGGGGACAACAGAGGATGAGATGACTGGATGGCATCACCGACTCGATGGACATGAGTTTCGGTAAACTCCGGGAGTTGGTGATAGACAGGCCTGGCGTGCTGCGATTCATGGGCTCGTAAAGAGTCGGACACGACTGAGCGACTGAACTGAACTGAACTGAATCCCATTGCATAAGGGGTGCTGGCATGCATTTTCATTGCCAAAGAGGAAAGTCCAGACTCCCTAATGTCATCCCAGTGTTCTCATGACCTGGCTCATGCCTTCATCTCTGGTTTCACCTCTCCATTCCTTCCCTGGATGTCGTAGAGCAGCAATGCCAGATAACTTACTATCCTCCAACACACGAAGTCAGCTCACATGTCCTCTATGTCTTGCACTCTTCTAGGATGAGAATGTCCTTCCTCCCTATGTTCCTGAAAAAAATCCTAGTCCCTCTTCCAAACCCAGGTGACTTATTCTTCTGGGAAGCTCTCTTTAACATCCCTCTCAAAGCCACCTCAGTACTTTGTTTCATCAAACATACCACTACCACATTTCATCAAATCTAAGACACCATTAGCTGTAAGATGCACCATTATCTAGTGCATCACAAAGACAGAAAAATGCTCTCAATTAATAGGAAGATAACACTGATGATAAGACATGTTTCACAGGTGATGTGAGGGGTGGGTGTATATCTTTGATTTAAAGAATTAGGTTATTCTACTTTTGACATTTTACTGTGAATATTTGTCTGTTTCTCCTACAACATACAGATCATGGCAACTCTGGGGTTTCTATATAAGAAAAGTTTGGGGTAAGTCAATCTAATGGGAAAGGGGAAAAAATAGGAGATTTGTCCTGATCTATTTTTAGAGACTTTAGATGAAGGAGTGGGAGGAAGGGGAGAAGCACAGATGGAGCTAACAACCCCCCCTCCCCATAGCTCCCCCCCCTCCAGAGAAAAATCATTCACCTTTGGCTAATGCCTGGAATAAAGTCCATGCTTTGGGATGAACAGGATGGCATTCAAATTAAAGTGAAACTGAAAGTGAAGTTGCTTACTCGTGTCCAACTCTGCAACCCCATGGACGATAGCCTACCAGGCTTCTCCATCCATCGGATTTTCCAGGCAAGAGTACCAGGGTGGGTTTCCATTTCCTTCTCCTGGGGATCTTCCCAACCCAGGGATTGAACCCAGGTCTCCTGCATTGCAGGCAGACGCTTTACCCTCTGAGCCATCAGGGAAGCTACATTCAAATTAAATGTAGATAACTAGGAGCAAGCAAATTGATCCTCAGATTATGCTCCCCAAAGTCTGAAACTTTGGAAAGGGTCTTGGGAGTCATGTGGAAGAAAGCAGAAATTGAGGGACTCCTGGAGTGGGGGTGGGGTATGATAGAGCTGCTGTTAAGAATTCATTAAGCAAAGGGTTCTGCAGCTTCAAAAATAAAGTTGGCTCATGCATGCATTCATTCATCCATACATAAATGGATGTACTTAGCATACATGAATGTGTATATGAATGGATAACTACTACTTTGAATGCCATCCCATTCATCCCAAAGTATGTACTTTGTTCCAGGCATTAGCCAGGTCTTTTTTTTGGGGGGTGGGGTGGGGTGGTTGTTAGCTCCATCAGTGCTTCTCCCCTTCCTCCCACTCCTTCATCTAAAGTCTCTAAAAATAGATCAGGACAAATCTCCCATTTTTTCCCCTTTCCCATTAGATTGACTTCCCCAAACTTTTCTTATATACAAACTCTGGAATTGCCATGATCTGTGTGTTGTAGGAAAGACAGACAGACAAATGTTCACAGTAAAATGTCAAAAGTAGAATAACCTAATTCTTGAAATCAAAGATATACACCCACCCCAATATTTTATCATCTGTGAAACATATAGGGCTTCCCTGATTGCTCAGTTGGTAAAGAATCTGCCTGCAATGCAGGAGACTCCCATTCCATTCCTGACTTGGGAAGATCCACTGGAGAAGGGAAAGGCTACCCACTCCAGTATTCCTGCCTGGAAAATTCCATGGATGGAGATGCCTGGCAGGCTACAGTCCATGGATTCGCAAAGAGTCGGACACGACTGAATGAATTTCACTTTCACTCATGCTATGGTCTGCTGTTATTGTTGTTTAGTCACTAAGTCGTGTCCAACTCTTTGCAACCCCATAGACTATAGCATGGGCTTCCCTCATAGCTCAATTGGTAAAGAATCTGCCTGCAATGCAGGAGATTCCTGGGTCGGGAAGATCTCCTAGAGAAGGAAATGGCAACCCACTCCAGTATTCTTGCCTGGAGAATCCATGGACAGAGGAGTCTGGCAGGTTACAGTCCTTGGGGTCACAAGAGTTGGACTTAGCAACTTAAGTGAGAGAGACTACAGCACATCAGACTCCTCTGTCCTCCACTATCTCCCAGAGTTTGTTCAAATTCATGTCCATTGAGTCAGTGATGCTATCTAATCATCTCACCCTCTGTCACCCTCTTTTTCTCCTGCATTCAATCTTTCCCAGCATCAGGGTTTTTTATCTAATGAATCAGCTCTTCCCATCAGGTGGCCTAAGTATTGGAGCTTCAGGTTCAGCATCAGTCCTTCCAATGAATAATC